GGATCCTCAAAATGCAAAGGACAAAATGTATTTATACTACTACCCACACACACACTAAAACACGCAGATTTAATGGGACACTCTCGACCACGCCGCAAATTTCGCGAGCTCACGGTGTGAGAATGCACGGACGCACGGGGCAGGGCGACACTCTCGACGGCGCGTGCATGTCCGCGACCGCGCGGGCGCGCTGTGTGTTGGGGCAGGAGGCTCTCGATGTCGCGGGGGTTGATGCGAGCGCGCGGACGCGTACGGGGCGCGGGGCAGCAGACACTCTCGATGTCGCGGCGAGTTCTGCGTGCACGCGGGTGGGGCATGAAGAGCTCTCGAGGTCGCGGTTGTTTCCGTGATGGCGCGAGTGAGCGGGCGTTCAGCGGGCGTGGAGCTCTCGACGTCGCGGCAGCTTCCGCGGGCTCGCGAGTGTGGCAGGCATGTGCAGCCGTGCGGTAGGCGCTGGCGCGAGGTGCGCACGGGTGCGTGGGCATGTGCGTGCGCACGGTGCGTGGGCATGTGTGTGCGCACGGCGCGTCCGTGTTCGACTAAGGCTCGACATACTCGACCGGAAATGTTCGTACAAATGACTTGGCTTGGCTCGGAATTTACTCGAGTTTCTTTTCATCCTCGAAATAGACCTGAAAATATATCAAAAGCACGGACAAGTACGCCAAGATACAAAATAAAATGAAAAACACAAAAACACTCGGAAAACGACAAAATGGACCGGATGACACTAAAACGAACCTAAAAATGACTCGATAACACATATAAACACATAAAAATAAGCACAAAAACATAACAAATAGTTTACATATTTGTAAGTATTATTAGTGGTCTAAATTAATACAAGCTTAAGCTATAGTTATTGCCGTTAGAAACTTCAACCAAATCTTAAAATATGACAAGTTGCTACGGTGAGTCACCTAGTAGCTTAGGCCATATGGCACATGCTAGCATCACCATAGGATGACTAATCATATCTTACGCCACCTAGCCCCTCCATGCGCCACCTCATGCGACGACTAAGCAAGGAAAATCCCACGGAAGCACACGGTGAAAGCAAGTGGCATCAGATGGTTGAATTATCAACTTTCATCTCTATCCATTATTTTTGTATCTATAAATTTAGCAATTGCCGTTAGTAATAGGGTACCATGCACGTCCAAGAAAAAACCGAGAGTTAAGAGAAGATAGACAAGAGAAAAACACCGAGTATAGCCGATCATCATAAGAGAGAAAAATAGTAATAATTCAAGAGAAAAAGTTAGGAAAATATTAAGAGTATAGAAGAAAAGTTAGAGATCTACCGTGCACAAGCCATTGCCGA